CCCGAACTGTGAATTTGCCATTGAAAAGCAAAGCTCTTTTTCAGAGATGACAGGGATTGACAGGCCCAGCGCTTTGTCTCGAGCAGTGGCAGTAGGAGATGCTGTGAAGGACAGGCAAGTTTTGGCACCCTATGCAGTTCAATCCCGAATGTTAATACCTCTGCAGCTTGATCTCCACCTGCTTCTCTCCTTACATCCTGAAGCGTTGTATAGGGGTGACAAGAGGGTACATCCCTTTTCATCAACCCACTGTCCAAGAGCTTGCCCAAGCCCTGTTCGAGCATCCCACCTGCCTCCACCACACCCCATGGCAACCAGCTCCATAGCCCACTTTCTGCTGTTAAAAAAAACCCACACTCCCCGAGATCTGATGAACAACAGTTCTGTGCCCACCTCACTCATCGCCTTCCCTGGGCACTCTTAACCACTTGTGTCAGCTTTCCCCAGCCTTCTCAGGCTCTCCTCATTAAGCATTTCCTCATAATTATGCATTTCCCTCACATCCCCCATCATTTTGTAGCCTTTCCCTGCATGTTCTGTCACATCTCTGAGATACAGGGGCTAACTCAGAGCCACCGCAAAGCCAAGTGCCGTCGCTCCGAGCCGTTTCTGCTCCAGCGTGCTCTCTGCTGCAGACCCCCGGCTGCAACTGCCCTCCCATCCGCGCCAGGCGTGCACCCCATGCTGGGGCCAGCCCCGCTTCAGAGCACGGCACAGCCAGCAGCTGAGTCACTTCTCTATGCGTTACACTAGGCTGTGCAATAATTTCCAAGATAAGCATTACAGGAATATACAACAGCACCGTGAGCTTGCACACGCAGCCCTCAAACAGCCGTTTCCCCAAGGAGCACCCGGCAGCGGCTGGCATGGAACAGCAGGGAGCACCCAGAGCCAGGCAGACCCCCGGAGCGGTGTCACCCGGCGTCGTGCGATGCAGCGCTGACGGGCGGCCGACTGACGGCGCCGGTGCCGTCACACGCAGGGACAACAAAGAAAGGCTGTGCGGCAGCGGGAGCTGACGGACACCCCAGCACAAAGCAGCGCGGCAGCCGACACAGCCCGACAGTAACACGAGCGTTTCCCAACGAGCCTTTCTTCTGCCTGAAATCGAACACTGAACAACAAGGTGATCTTGCCATATCGTGGCACTGCTCTTCCTTCCTTTCCCCAGGCAGGAGTCTCCAAATTGCTGCTGGCTCTGCCCAAGACCCTCTCCTGCCATTTCAGTGCTCAGGCGCAGCAAGTGGTGCTGGCATTGAGAGCCCAGCCCACCTCACCACTAGGAGAGAGCAAAAACCAAACCCAAACCTGGCAGTAGAGCGAAGCAAACAAAGGGTTTCTAACAGGATCAGTATAATCTTTGTTTCACCCCCAATTCTCAGCAGATTTACTAAATGCTTTTTTGTTTCAGAGAAAAACCCCTCTGCAGAATCTGCCCTATGTGCAGGCAGATCCCACAGTGGGTGTGCAGCACAGCCCACAGACAACTCCACACGGGGAGGTTACACCAGCGGGAGAGGAGACACACAGCACCCGCTGCACCAGGCACAGGGGTGCTCAGGACCATCTACTTACCACCTCATACCACCAGCAGGACACCAGCAACTTCTGTCACGTTTCAAATGTCTTTTCTGTTTCACTCCTTAAGAACAGGCTGATAATTACAGCATCCCTGCCACAGTAGCTTTCTTTCCTGCCACAGTAGCTTTAACCAACTGCAACCTGAAGCACTTCTGTTCACAGAAGTCCCCCAGTTTTTGTCCCTTTTCACGTCATTTACCAGCGATCAAATCAGACAGGATCTGAGCACACCTACATCCTCCTGTACAGCAGAGCAAGCTGTTGATCACACGAGGGAAACGTGTTTTGCTGCTGACACTGTTCTCTAATTGAAGTGCAAAGCTCCTGTTTCCCTGCAGAAGCCACAGCAGTAAACACAGCTAAGGGCAGACCACCAGCACCCATCCACAGCTGGGGTGGAAATCACGGCAGTATATTATCTCAGTGACCGATACACACACAAAATATATATATTCATATATATAGACACACACAGAGCTTTTTTGGCCTGTGCCATGAGCTGACACTTGGGAAGGTGACGCTGTCTTCAGGACACAGCACAAAGGTGCTTCCTTGAGATCTGAAAACATCAAAAACCACAGCTTCCAGCGCTGCTGCTTTCGGTTTGTTGTACCTGACACGTAGATCTACGCAGGGTAAGACGCAGAAGCAAACCAAACGTGTGGGGAATGTGGTCAGACAGGAGCAGGCAGCACAGCAGGCACACGGCGCAGATCATTCTTGATGTTGCTCAGAAGTGAGCTCTTGGTTTGAACACACCCAGGGCACTGACAGCTCCAGAACAATGCTCTTCCCAGAGTGCAAGATAAAGCCCCAGTGCACAAGAAGCAGTTATAATTTCAGCATTATTCTATTACTGGCTCCCTGAGGTTACCTTTCTCCATTCTGTTAAGGGAAAAAGCGCTACTGAATTCAGTTACAATGTAACAACATCTACAGCCAAAACAATTCAAAACTGCAGTTTAATTTCAGAAAATGTGTTAAAATATATCTGTATTTACACATCAGTTTGACACACGGCATTGTTTTACACAAATGATGGTCTCTCTTGAAACTGTATTTATGAAATGTACATTTTTTATTTAAATACTCAGTATACACTGCACTTAATCTGCATGTTGCATTTATTAAATACATTAAAATCTGCAATGTAACAAAACGTTTTCTGCATACGAAATTCAAAACACCATTTTAAATGAACAAAAGATGGCTCACTTCATTTATTTTTAACAACTAGTGTGCAGCACACTAGCTCAGCTCCACCAACACCAGCTGTTCTTTCTTTTTTATTTGACATTATTCACAGACTATTACATATTACAATAAGAGTGCTGGATAAAAACATGAGGTACGAAAGTGGTTCAAAGATTATAGGTCATGCAGATCATGCTAGACAGCAAAGAAAGTTGTGAATGAGAAAACACTAAATAAGAATACATAAAGAATGTGCATTATAAAATAAAAAAAACCTCAGATTACACAGCTTTGCTTCTTTGGTTACAAAGTAGGTTGAACAATTTCACAGCTTTTTATTCCCATCCAAAAAAAAAAATATACGAAATGTCAAAAAGCAGAGGAATCATGGCAATTTCTCTCTATTAGAAAGTAGAAACAGAAATGAGCAAAGTTTTCTTCATCAAAATAGCCCATCAATTATTTATTATATCACAATAACTGGTGACTACCTGTACAGATGCACTATGGTCTTCATACTTACACTCTATACAAAATTTACATTCAAGCTGGATCTTTACTACCGTAAATAAATACCAAAGGTAAATTGCCATTAGTGTTAGAAATATGCCAGGATTCTTTTGTTCAATTATTGCCTAAACATTTTACCTATTCAACGCAATCCCATCTATCATTTTACTGATACATACATTTATAAAAAAAAATTAAAAAAGTTCTGTGACATTGTTCATGTACATTATGAAAATAGCAGCCCTGTAATAAATAAAACAAATAAATGCAACTAACATAGGCAAATGTTGCTGATGGGAAAGAAGAGTGGCTCTGGGGACAAATTGTGACTGCTCACCAGACAGCGAGGCTCAAAGCCATCCGCGGGAACAGAGACCTGGGGAGCCACCAGAGCCCGACAGACCCCGCTCCCGCGCCCGAACGCGCTCCTTGCGTCAGCGCCTCCATCTGCGCGTCAAGGCCGGGGCGGACAGCGGGGCAGCTCCGCGTGATTGTCTAATACTGACACGGCCAGACACGACACAAGCATGGCTACGCGCTCTCGGGCAGTGGGGCACAGCGGTGGCACGCGAGGACAGACCGCTCCCGGGCTGTGCTTCCCGAGAAAGCATCACACGGAGGAGACGTTCGGCTGCTGCGGGGGCTGCGCCGTCCCTGCCTGCGCCTGCGAAGAGCTGCTGGGGGCGGGCTGAGGGGTGGAGAGCTGGGACAGCTGATCGCTGTTGGAGAGAGATTTTAACAGTGCGTTCTCTCGTTCAAGTAAAGAGTTTCTTTCTACCAATTCTTTTATTTGTTCCTTCAGGACCTCCACTTCTTCTCTGACTGCATACATCAAATGGCTTTTCACTAGATCCTGTGAAGAGCAAGTCAACGTCACACACGGTGCGAAAACAGCCCCGTCCCACCCCAGCCCCAGGATTTACTGTGGTACTGCCTTCACGGACTTAGTGGTAAGCCTGGAAAACTAACTCACTTGTCACTAGAAGTATATGAATGAATCAGCCTTCAAGAGCAAATAACCGAGCTCTGTAATTCAGTGTAACGGGCCCCTACACAAAAGCGTTGCTTCCAGCACTAAGTCCAAGTCAGCTGGGTTACGCTGAAGACAAGGACTGGAATTATGGCCCAGCTACTCAGGAGGTAGGAGCCTGTGTTACAAAACCCCAAGTGCTGAGGTGTGCGGGAACCAAGAAATAAGAACAACTCTAAATCAGCAGAAGCAAAAACCAGACAGATGTAACTGAAGCTAACAAAATGTCAAGGATGACATAAGTGACAGTTCAGAAAAACCAGTAATGAACTTCACTCAAGTAAGAAACTTAAATGTGCTATTTCTTTTCAGCACCCCTTTAAGTTCAGTTAGCTTGTTCACAGAAATTCATAGGATAATTAATTTAAGAACATTTCTGGCCCAACAGCAAAGGCAATCCTGGTTTGGGGCCATCCCATAGCTGATACAGAAAAACCTTTTTTCCCGGATGATGGTCTCAGTGTGACCCGACTGAAGGGATCGCAGAATATTACGGACTCACAGAAACACAATGCAGCTGGAAAGTTATGGTCAATGATGAACCACTAATCCTACCGGAAATAACAACTTAGTTTTTTTACTTACCATTGCCTGTTCTATTTTGTTGTCAATGGCAACAACACTTGCACCAGATGCACTGCAAATACAAGGAGAAAACTTTGTGAGTGTTACTGTACCATCCCATAAAACCAGGCAGGACCCCTAGAACATGATTAAAACGAGAGGTTAAAGCTTCAGACCTGAGAGTTCAGTACACGACCACAGGGCTCCCCCCCTCCAGAAAAATATAGTATTAATTAAATTAACTAATTTAACCACTTTGATTCCTTGCCTCATTTTTCAGCTTTCTTCACTGGGGAAAACAGGGCTTTATGGGATATTAATGGGGTCCTTAGCTCTAATTTTATTTCTGCTAAATTGCTTTTATAAAGCATTGAAAACTGTTATCACATCTGTTGTCTTGCTTTACTCGAAGACTACTTCCCAGTTAAAATGTCCCTGGATCAGCACTGTCTGTACAATCTTGCAAGCAAGTGGCAGCAGCCCAGAGAAGAGGAGGACACCACCAGAGCCCCAGCTTCCCCAGTGCGCTGGGGGTGTTCGGTGAATTCTCCTTGGACCACGTCTACCACCCAAGAAACACCTGTCGTTGGTTATGGCTGGGTCAGTCACGTTCCAGACACCCAACTGCAGGACGGCCCACAAAAACACCCCTCACCACTGCAGGAATCTGAATTATGGTGTGAAATGAGATGCCAAACTGCATCTTTAAATCCTGGGTTACAGCAACTTGGGCTGTAACATTTTTGGCCTGTTTTCAAGTCACAGTGTAGGAGCACAGGGCAGCTGCTCACTCCTAACTCTCCAGAGTCAGAATTTCGGGGGGTGGTGGTGTCCCTGGTCCCTCTGCTGGGAGAGAAGCCTCGGTCAGGCAGGATCCCCTGCAGACTCCCAATGCCCCCGTGGCTCTCAGTGGCCCCGTTTCCCCCCACGCACCAGGCCCAGCGCTGATAACCCCTGATAACGCTCCCTGGCCACGGAAGTCGATATCAGCAGTGTGCAGCTATGCTGAAAAAAGTTAACATAGGGAAAAACGGCAGGTTTGGGGTCCTACTGGGAAACTCGCCTCTCCAAAAACAGGTAACACTCCCTGAAACCACGTGCTAGGAGAAAACTACTTAAGGCTTTTAAGTACTGGTGATAAGCTCAGCAGCTACATACGTGCAACAAAGCTCAACTATCGCAAGAACATGACACTGCTTAGAGAAATCCATCGTACCACGTCTCACCAGAGCTGTCAGCGTTTACAAGATGAGGAATCAGCTTTTCAGACTGAGGGAGCAACGGCCTCTACTCCTGAATTACACAAAGCCTGTAATCTAAATCAAAGTGCTAAATACCCACTTCACGAGGAAATGGCTCCCGTGTCTTACTGCCTCCTAAGCTTCTTTCAAGCCACATTCATGGTAAACCTCCTCAGAATAAAGTACTAATAATTCATGCCAAGGTTAAGTACTCCTTTCTATCCTGAATTAAGGTGTTTCAGAGCTGTCTGAAGCTGCCACAGATGTCCCTGCTCAGAGTCACTGAACCCCCACAGCTGCCACGTCCCTGGCACAGCCCTTCACAGCACTGCACTGGGACGCAGGTGAGGAGTTCTGAACAGCGAGACAAGAGCAGCAAAATTAAAGCAAATGGCCCAGTTCATAGTGGATCTGCTCCTGCACCTTTACAGTGTAATTACACACACTTTGTCAGCACTTTTCCAGTTACATTTGAGAGTGGAACTTTGTTCTGCTGTTCCCGTTTCTACATTGTGCAGTGGGATTGTTTAAAAAGTGAAGTTCAGGTGTTCAACCAGATCCAGGACACAGCCCCTCGGGGGGGACAGGAACACGGGTACCTGTGCACAGCCACCTCCGCATCCCCTGCACTCCAAACCCCCGGCAGTGCTGAGAGCCGCACGTAGTTTATACACCACTACTATTTGCTTAATACTCCTGTTGTCCTTATCCCCAGAGCAGCTCACACTACTATCAAAACACCGAGTCAGACGTGGTTTTACCCTGATCATTTCATTTCCCTTTCTGAAAGCAGACGAGAACGAGGTTACAGGCTAGCACAACTCCCGCATGATTCTGCCTGTTTGCAGATGCAAAGGGATGCTTAAGCTCACAAGGTTTTTGTAACTGCAAACCTCCCTCCCCAAACCGAGCTCTGGCCAAAGAGCTCCCATGCACACTGCAATTGAAGAGAGCGACTCAGTTTGATTGGGACCTCCACACAGAAATGAAGGCTCTGAGCAAAAAAGTTGTGTTGATAAACCAAGATTGCTCTGAAGCCCACCAAGCACACAGCAAGATTTACAGTCAGCAAAATGACAAAGGTTACCAAGTACAGTTTGCCATTTCCAGAGATGGATGGCAAAACCAGCATTTTTCTCCCTTACATACCAGATAGGCAAAACCCTATTTAGCCTGAGAGATCCTCAGATAGAGATCCTCAGGCAGATTTAGCCTGAGAAATCCATGGGTCCAGATGGGATGCACCC